CACTGCAACTGTTATGGACAGGCGTGTTGCTTACCACCAGGCGTACGATTTGTTCGTCCCGTCACTTGGTATAACAAAAAACAATTGTCATTTTGTTGTCTCTACATCGGCCAATGGTATGGCCGATGTAGAGACAACAAATGGAGTTCCACGGAAGAAAAAAAAAAACAAAGGAAATGCCATAAGCCTCGATTACCTACTCTCAGATCTGATGTCGCCAAAACTCACACATTCTTAATATGAAACACTACAAAATCTTGATAATGATTGGTCGTAAAAAAGACAACAAATTCTGGGTTTTAAATATAATTTAAACTTTACCCTTTTGGCATATGATTGAAAGTAAGTACCATCAACACCTATTATTGCAAGTTACGAGGTTTCGATATTAAATTGAAATTTCAATCAAAGTCCTGCGGTCTAGCGGTTAATCGTTGAATCACGACGAATAGGAGTTATTAATTTAGTTCTCCAAAAAAGATGCGACCATATTGCAGGGGTGTAAGCTTTACTTTCGATTCATGTAACTAAAAAATGATTTCGAAAATGTATGAAAATAAGACCTGCCGATGACACAAAATACCGCCACGGGTAATATTTTTCGTGCGGCTATAATTTTTGCACTCCAAAATAGCACAATAAAGCATTTTTCTACAATTTTACAGAATTTACGCGAAAGAATTGACACAACCATACCGTACAAAGCGAAAATGGCGGTCTGAGCTCACATAGGTCCGAAGAGACCCATAGTTGGCACGCGTGTGCAGCTAACTAACCATTTCTACTGTATTTTCTGTTCTGTGGTTAACTCCATGTAAATAAAGCAGCAGCATGGTTTGCATGTGTGCGCTCCCCCCGCCATGGATGGACGCATTCATTGGCATAATAATGAAAGGTGCGTGCGTGGGACAACCAGCACTATGCCACGCGAATGCAGCGCGAGATTATGCATATGTGTGCGTCCATGCCACGCTGTTACCACATTTTGTCTTATTATAATATCAGGGATTTTCATATTGACCACTGCAATTACACACAGAATAAAGTGTACTGTGTGGATCAGTGGCGACTTCCCGTTGTATGTTGTTCCGATATTAGTAGATCGATGATTATGTTTTGAATATAATTATTTGAAAGATCGAACACTTAGAAAAAAATCCTCGATCCGATTAAAAACCAAAACAAAGATCGACAACAAGCACAGAAAAATTCATAAGGTCCGCTGGTTCGTTCTGTGGCTTAGTTAGCAAAGTGTCTGACACGGTTTGCTAGGAGACGTTGGTTCGAATCCTGCCGGATCGAAGGAATTTTTTCTGAGTATTCGATCTTTGTATTAACAATTGTAACTAATTATTGAAATTAGTGTAATTGAAACTAGTGGGGTAATTTCACAAAGAATTATTTCAATTTCTTTAGGATTACATAGTGTTTCATGTGTCTACATGTCATAGACCTCTGGTCTTGCTCTGATCGCATGCAGCAGGTTCTCGCAACCTTCACAAATTCGTCGGTCTACCTTGTGGGTGATCGGCCCACGATGCGTTTTAATGTAATTTCTATTCGATGTGATGCTGTTAATCATATCAACAATTTCCTTGCAAATGTGGGGAGGAACCTGGCCAAAAATATTATAAATACCCATACCGCCGATATAGGTACAGCTGAAACCAGCAGCTCTCTTCATTCAATCGCATTCTTGCCTACTGATGAAACAGAAGTTGAGATATTTATTTTATCGCTGAAAAGCAATGCAATGGGATGGGAAAATATTAGTGCTAAAGTTTTGAAACATTTTATAATATTTTTGTGCCACCATTGACGTACATATGTAATTTGGCTATTGTGAATGGTATTTTCCCGCAAGCTTTTAAGAAGGCATTGATACTACCCGTACATAAGAGTGGAGCTCGGGACCGTGTCGACAATTATAGGCCAATATCTATCCTACCTTCAATATCCAAAGTTCTAGAGAAGATTATGAACTCTAGGCTAATAACCTTTCTAGAAACAAAAAAATCTTGTCCAACTCACAGTTTGGCTTTCGTGCCGGCATTTCGACAGGGAATGCCGTACATGAACTCACAGATTATGTTTGTAAGAATATCGCGGTGGGAAGAAATGCTTGGCAGTATTCCTAGATTTGGCTACGGCTTTCGACACGGTCTCTGTCCCTCTTTTGATCGATAAATTAGAAGATATTGGTGTCAGAGGCATGCAGCTTGAGCTTTTCGGTAACTTTTTAAGCAATAGAACGCAATGTGTAAAAATTGGTGACATTATCAGTGACGATCTACCTGTTTCTCACGGTATTCCACAGGGTAGTATTCTGGGACCTACCCTTTTCCTAGTTTATGTTAATGAACTATGTAAATTGGAATTACCCAATGGGCGAATAACTTCTTTCGCGGATGATACCGCTCTAACATTAGCGCCAAAAATTGGGAAGAAGTATTCCACCATGCCCAGCATGGTTTTGATATTGTCACCTTTCAGTGTTACGGGTTACGTGAAAATATTGTAACTTTAAATATAGACAAAACTAAGTACATAACATTCACGAAGCGGGGTTGTGTGACTAATTTACCTTTTTCTATTGTTGCACATAAATGTCCTCTCCCGCACGAGGTTGATTGTAACTGCCCCCGATTGGACAGAGTTAGGTCAATTAAATACCTTGGGATACAAATAGACGACAATCTCAGTTTTAGTAATCATGTTGATATGCTGGTATCTAGGGTACGTAAACTGATATATATTTTTTAAAATTTGCGTAATGTTGCTGGCCCTGGTACAATCAAAATGGTATAAATAGCGTTGTGTCAATCTATATTTTGCTACTGTATAACTACTTGGGGCGGTACTCACAAATCTACTCTATTAAAATTAGAAAGAGCCCAAAGAGCGGTACTCAAGACTTCCCTAAATCTTCGTTTTCGATTTTCCACGACAGAGCTGTACAAATTGTATACAGTGCATACAGTATGACAATTTTATATTTTGTGTGCTGTCGCGCAATTACATTCTCAGTTAGGTACCGTACGATCCCGCTATGTTAACGACTAAAAGACGTAAGGATATTGTTTATCGTTCTTCAACGCATTCAGGGTTCTCTCATAGATCGTTTTCATTTTTGGCTGGTTTCATATATTATAAAATAAATAAAATTTTAAATCTCTACCCTTTAAATAAAAATTATTGTAAACAAACTGTTTCGAAATGGCTACTTACTTTAAATTATGATCAGACGGAAAATCTATTGGTAATGAATATACATATAGCATTTAATTTGATTACATTCTCGGATCTATCTGAAGGTATTTTACCACGGTAAATACATATTCAAACATTTCTCACGCGCCTCTCTGTCGCATTTACAGCGCACATACTTACACACACATGCGCCAACACACACACACACACACACACACACACACACACACACACAGACAAACCCCCCCCCCCCCCCCACACACTCTCTCTCTCTCTCTCTCTGTCTCACACACACGCGCGCGCGTATACGCACATACACTCATGCACGCAAGCACGCGCATACTTCCGTGTTTGAGTCCATTTTTGTTAATTTTTTTTGTTAAATTTTTATGTTATGCTTGTATAATAGCTGCCTAAAGTTATGAGTGTATTATGTACAATTTTACAGTCATGTCCGTGGAGTGGAGGCCTGGTTATCCATAACACAGGTTTTTTTACCTAGCTTGGACACCAGTCTCCCATTTTAGCATTGTTTAAACTTATATCTATACAAATTGCCATTTTTGTTTTGTAAGCTATTGGGAGAAAATAAATAAATAAATAAAATATATTTTTTTTCAATGGCCTTTAGGAATAAAGTTTATTGAAAAAGCGTCTTAGGTATACTGTAACCTAGGCTCTACTCTATGAGTAGAACTACTGGCTGAGTGAATATAGTTTTGTGTTTAGAATGTGTTTGAAAAAATAGGTTAAAAAGAAAAGAACATCTTGATAGATCTAGAAATAGCCTCCTCTTCTAAAATTTTTAATATAGAAAAAAATAAACTTACCTCGAAATTTTACAAGAAAACAGCTGTATTTCAATTGGTGCCTTACATAATGCCAATGGTTTTTTAATGTCAACCATATGTCAACTTAACTAAACAGAACACGTATAGTATATGATATATATTTTTAACCGACTTCAAAAAAGGAGGAGGTTCTCAATTCGACTGTATGTTTTTTTTTGTATGTACGTTACGCGATAACTCCGGTATTTGTTAACCGATTTTCATGATTCTTTTCTTGTTGGAAAGGGGGTATTTCCATAGTGGTCCCATTTCATTTTGAAGAAAATCATCTACCTCAAAGGGTGGCTGTTCACGCATGAAGATTCATTTTTATAAATAGCGCCTAACTTTAATTTAGGAGCAATTACTTTTAGCAATTATTTAGTTGATTTTGCTATTTCTCCAATTCAAGGCGTTTTTCTCTCGATATACTTTGAGTAGTGTCGTAGTGAGAACCTATTTTTATTATCTCCAGTATCAAGTCCTGTATAGTGGCGAACTAGGGGATATTTCAATGAAACTTAGCAAATAGACGTAATTCTACGTACTTTTGAGGTCGGTTTTTTTAGTACTCTGTACTGAGATTATATTATTCAAATGGGTTTAATTGCGGTTATAAAAAAATAAATTCTTAAATTAGGCCATCGTGCCTACCACTCGACTCCAAGCAAAATGAACCGTATTAGTATACGGGAAAAATATGAATTCGAGCTAAAGTAGTATCGACTCTTAAAATATTGTACAATCTATTGTACTGCTTTTATTATAGTATGATTTTATAGTGAACTATTTGACAATTAGTAATTGTATTAAATATTTGAATAATGCACATATTTGTATGAAAAACTATGGTTGAAAAAGTTGGTTTTGTTAAAATAATAATATGAATAATTTCAGTTAATTATAAGTCCCATTATGAAATGAGTCCTTGTTATTTAACGTAAACAATTTCTTCCGCAGGCAGCGAGAGCCCCACGAATACAGTGGGGGCGGAGGCGCCACGCGAGCTGCCCAATGAGCTTTCTGCGCCCTACGAGGTCCCGCAATTCCCCATTGAACAGATAGAGAAGAAACTTCTTATACAACGACAGTTGAACGTCAAGTAAGTTTTCAACAGGTTTTATAGAGTAATTATTGACTATATTCTTTTCCAAGTCGATCCTGTCTCCCCAAAGTCGCTTTAACATATTTCATCATTCGTCTATCGTCCGTCCGCCTACATTTTATTATTAATTTAGGAAGAAAATTTAAAAACTCGGATATATAAGCGGAATTTAAACGGATCAAGTTTTTTTTATAATATCAAGTGACGAACAAGTCGTGCGCCTGATGGTAAGCTACACGCCTGTCTGTAACAGTTGCAGTGCCACTCAGAGCTTTAATTCGCAAGGATTTGAGGGGCACTGCCACTGCGCCCGTCACCCTGAGACATAAGTTGTCAAGTCCCATGTGCCTGTAATTTCACCAGCACCCTTACCCTTCAAAACCGGAACACAGTATTGCTGACATTACTGCTTGGCGGGAGAAATAGGTAAGGTGGCAGTACATCCCTGGACGAATTCTTTCACAAGGCGCATACTGCTACTAAAGTTCCATCGTGTCTGTTGTTTTCTTAACAAATCGACTAGCCTAGTACTCGTATCTCACCTGTTCATTGACAGTACTTAATAGGCACCACACACCAATACAGCGTCGGCGCCCGAGTGTAATCAATACTCTGGCGCTCTCTAGCATAGACGCGATCAAAATGGAATACTTACAGTTACATTTTCCTCAGTGATCGGAAATTCGGGTGATAGACGCAGGCTCTTTGCAGGCCCAATACCCAAGTTCAAGGGATCCTTACTCTAAATTAGCGGGGTGTAACAAGAGATTGGGAGTTAGGGTCGACGTGAGACGAAAGCGGGGAGCAATCGCATCGTTTCATCCCTTTGTTTCGCGCAGCCATTTTGTCTTACATCGCCAAGTCGTGCAGTAAAGAAAAAAATATTTTGTTGTGCCTGATAGAAATGTATAAAGACATGACCTATTTGTTTAAAAAAGAGCACAAGACTATAGGAAGAATGACCCACGGGCCGGGGGATTTTAAGTTTTATTTCGATGAGAAACAACAACAACAAATACAAACTTCGATGGCGGCATCATTGTTAAACGTACAACGCTTTGGACGTTCGCGTTCAGAATAAGCTAGAGCCTTGGCAGATTAGTGTAATAAATGGCTCTATACGCCCACTCTTGAAGCAGGGCTCTAAAAATGAATAGTGTGATAAGCGCTTTAAAAAATCATTTACAAAATGACAGTGAATACTCAAAAAGAAAAATTAAGTTACTACATGGTGTACCTATTATTAACCTAACCGTTACATTGTACGTAGTCAATAAAACGGCCGTCTAGTTTCAACAGTCGACAGGTGCTTCGAAACAATTTGTAAGCGCGATAGTTTACTGTTTCAAGCGTTTAATTAAGAATAGGAGCGGATGGAGCAAATTGAAGACTGTTGTTTTTGTTACTGCCAGTTGAGTCCGTTCGACGGTCAATTAAGTAAAAGCTAGATTGAATAAATTATCTATTAACTAAACTGCCTCCGTGGCCGAACGGTTACCATGCCGGACTGCCATGCAGAGGTCCAAGGTTCGATTCCCGGGCCGGGAGAAATATTTGTATGGCCTATATTTATTTCTCTCGTGAGTTTGGGTGTAATTTGTCATTTTCTATGTGTGTTTCCATGGCACCCGCGACACAGGGTTTCCCTAGTGCGGGGCTATGTTGAGTGTGTGCGTTATTATTATTATTATTATTGGTTTTATAGAGTAATTATTGACTATATTCTTTTCCAAATTACTATCAACTCGATCCTGTCTCCCCAAAGTCGCTTTAACATATTTCATCATTCGTCTATCTTCCGTCCGCCACAGATGGACTGCATGTTTGCAGTCAATTCGTGCAGTCGTGATCAACTGCTGCAGTCGAAACGTCGATTGCGTGCAGTTGATTTGACGCAGCGTTATACTTTTTTATATTTTATGATACCAAGTGACCGGTGATAAGCGACACTGTCCATAGCAGTTGCAATGTCACTTCTTTTGAATCGCAAAGATCTGAGGAGGGGTACTGCCGCCGCGCCCGTCTCTTTGAGACATATGTTGACAAGTTCCACGTGCCTGTAATTTCACAAGGACCCTTACCTTTCAAAACACGAATGCAGTAACGGGCACATTACTGATTGGCAGCAGAAATGGATGGACGAACTCTTGCATAAGCAGCTTTACTGTTACCTAACTACTACTACTTACTACTAAATATAAATTAGTACGATATGGTACATGGTGCGTTGAAACTTCGCATCACTATGTTGAAATTATAGCGTTGCTGCGACCACGCATTTCCCGTGTGGCATCGCTCTTAGTACGCAGAAATCATAGTGTTGCGACTACGCAATTCCCGTGTGGCATCGCTCTTAGTACGCAGAA